CCTCCTAGTAGCAGTGGGAAAACTCTGCCAAATTCCCTGTGACAGACCAGTCCTTGGAGATCCACTCAGGGTACTCCCTGTGGGGATACGAGTGTATTAGAAAGCAAATGCTGACAATTAAAAATGAGCACTTAAGAATTGAGTCGTCCTAGTGTAGGGAGAAACCTGAGAAGGGGGAGAAAAGAAAAGGTATAAAGACAGCAAAACAATTCTGTGTAAATTGTACGATGTATTTTTCTGCTTGAGATTCAAATAAGTTTTACGTCAGTCATTCCAAGTGGCGCAGGAGCAGAAAGAGGATTTAAACTGTCACATTTCGTCCTTGGCAGGCACCAGTCTAAAGGTGTTTGAAGTGATCTCACACAGCACTGCCTGAACTCTGCTTGGTGTCAACAACAGTTTTGAATGCCAGTAGTCTGCGAGAAGATTTGCATATACAAATATGTGTGTATTGTGAATCCTTTTTGTTGATAGAATGTCCTGATTATGAAGTTCATAATCTACTGCAAATCAGGCATCTCTTGGTAGTTATGGGATGCTAATAATTAATTTATCTTCCAGAAAATAACTTAAGTACAAAAGAAAATGAGGGTTTAAATCAATTTAAATTTGTTTTTCTCTTTACCAATTTAAATTGTGATTGGAATCAGTGATTTAAATAATTTTGAATAATTTCTGTTCTTTTATACTGGATAGTAGATGCTATGTGGTAGGAGAGCACTGAAATTTATTCAGAAAGATATCCCAGTTCTGGCTCCTGACAAATCCATTAAGAAACAAAACCACATAGTTGAGGTTTGGGGGATTTTTTTTTTTCAGGGGACTTCCCACAGTAGCTGTATGCGTACGAAATTAAGCCCTTTCTCTGGTAACTATACTTAGCAGCAGGAAAAAACCTGATTCACCAGAAACAAAGACTTCTTCAGGTACTGTGCAAAGGAGTAAGAGCTGCTGAAGCTGCTGGGAGTTCGTCAAGCATTGGCTTTCCTGGGGCAGCGCTGACGAGGAAGGCAGCTCCTTGCTTGGCTTGTTTATTTTTCTGAGCACCGCTTCAGTCTCTCACAAACATTAGTCCTCAAGACAAATTCATTTCTGTGGTACCTCCATGCAGGCCAGAGGAGATTCAGGGTTTGGTGTACATCTGTCATACATAACATGCCCAAAGAGCTTCACTGTGTGTTGCCTCAGTATTTTTCTAAAAGCTTTGCCTGGTGATTTGACAGATTATTTCTCACCTCAAGAGGCTCTACTTGAAATATTGTGTCCCTTCAGGGAGTAATTATAAATAGCAAGGACTTGAATGAGCACCTTCTTAATCTTCCATCTTTGACTTAATATTTTCCTTTCTTATCAACCCTCAGCTACTTGCTTTGAAATCTGACCAATGGCTTTATGTGATTAATACATCAAACAGGTAAATTAGAGCCATTTTGACCCTGAGTAGAAATTCGAATGGATTGGAAAAAATGAACAGACATCTCTATTTTCAAACTGTTGTGCTACAAGTATCATACGAGAAGATTTATGTATTCTTCCCCATTGTCATTCTTCTACCATATGCATGAATATTCAGTAACAGGAATTTTTCCCAACTAGGTCTTGACTGCCATTTTTCAAGATAGCAGCTTTCTCTTTATTTCATGACAGTGAAAGTGCCGATGAAAACTACTTCAGTCTTAAGACCTTTTTCTTAGATAGTGTATGTGAAATAAGTTGACAGGTCTTACATTTTATCACCAGGAGCTTGACTACATTCACCGCTGAGTTGGCCAACAAAAACAAACAAAAAGCTAAGTTTTGAACCTGGTTTAAGTATTCCAGCATCCTTGTGCTCTCCCCCACCTTGACATTAAAACCATTCAAGCTTTGAGTTACGTATCTTCAGATTTAATAGTTCTGTTTCTGGATCGAAGCACATTGGCAGAGCAATGGGGAAGGCGTTTGTCATTCTGCAGTAAGTGCTGTGCAATTATGGACATTAATCCTGCATGCACTTTTCAGAACAAAATTGAATTGTATGTTCTGTCCCTGAAAAGATGGCTTCCTTCTAGTTCCATAGCACATTGAAATTAAAGTCTGCTGAGAATATAAATGAGATCTTGTTTCAACTTTATGACTTTCCTGCAGGCACTAGTAGACCAGATGGAAGAGGTACAGAAGTGTTCTCCTTTTTGAAAATTAGCAAATACAGAAAAAGATACGGATAAATTCTGATAAAAGTGAAGCAGCTTTGAGACTTAGTTTAGCATTGGTTGTTTATGTCCTGGATGTTTCCCTA